CCCCCCCAGTCTGTCTATTGAATCTGGATCTCTCTTTTCTCTGCACTGAGTCAATGGCCTGGGTGGGGAGGGTGGAGGGAGGAGGGAAGCAGGGCCAGGCTGACTACTGAGTCCAGGGAGACCTGGCCTTTTGTTCTGCGGGATCCCGGTCTCCTTTCCTGGTCAGCCCCGGGGCCTGGAAGGGATAAAACTTCCCAGCCTAACAGCCCGGACCCATCACCTCTGCCCGGCCATCTGAGCTGCCGGTGGGAATGCCACGAGACGCAAAATGTGTTTTCCATTAAGTTTAAATTAAAAATGAGAATCAAGATAGATACCTTCTCGGTGGCCTCCCTGTCACACAACATATTTCATCCTTTTGTGCTGCCACTATTTAAAAACGCAGTTCCTTGGTATTTTTCACAGGCCAGACCCAGTTATACATATAGAAACCAACTCTTTAAAAAATGAAAAAAGACTCTTTTTCTTTCTTCTGCCTATGGCCACCCCACCCAGGACCTTTTGGGCTCCCAGAAACCCCAAACTCCCCCCAGTGGCCCTGCGTTTGAACTGCCAGTTGGGGACAGCGCTCACTTCCTTTGAGGTCCCGCCCAATCTCATTTCCCGCAGCCCAGGGCTGTAAATATGGCCCGTGCCAAGCGGCTGTGCCCAGAGAGATACTGTGGGGCCGCCAGTCAGGCCCGGAGTGGGCGCTGCGGGGGAGAGAGAAAGACACGGTTAGTGTGGTGATGGGTTTGGCTTAATCTGCCTCATTCCAGGAGGCCGCAGGAAAGTTTTCGGAAAGCATTTATCTCCTGGGACAAATAAAAACAGAACATGCTGTGGGGAAAGTGGTCTGGCTCTCAACGGGAAGCCCAGGGGCATGAGGCTAGTTGTAAGGCAGAGAAGGGGAGACAAGTGTGGCGCAGGTTAGAGCGAGCCCTACTGGGTCACCTCCTCTTAGAGGGGAGGCTGTGTGCCTGGCTCCAGCCTGGGGCTTCAGAGGCCTCGGTCTCAGATGCCAGCTGCTCTCCCTGGCTGGCTGCCTTTGAGCCATTTCTGAAGCACTCCAGGCCTCAGTTGCTTTAGCTTTAAAATGGGGATTATAAATAGTCCATGTGGTGTCCACAAGGGGGCATCCCATCCATGTAAAGTGAATGACCCCTGGGGAGATGTGCACCTGAGCCCTGGTGTCCTCAGGAGGTTCCAGAATGACCCTGAGTGCTCTGTGCATCGTCCCAGACCACTGTCCTCCTGCCACTTGAGTGTGGGCAGTGTCACCGAGGCACCAAGGGGCAGCCAATCTATTGGGAACAGCCGAAAAGCCCAGGCCTGAAGAACCAGCACCCGTGGGCAGGCTGGGTAAATGCTGTCTTGCCAAATGGTCAGACAGGGTGCAGAGGGGCTTGGGGCGTTGCTGTTTACTCTCCACCCTGGGAAATTAATTTAAAGTTTGGTATTTAACATTTAAAACACAGCCTCCCTCCCAGACAGCCAGAATAACTACTCAAGCACCTTTCAGGAAGTATAAATGAGACGCCAGAGCTTCACATCCCGTAAGGTTTCCTTTTCCTACGAGAGTCGGGAAAGCTCAGGCGCTGCGGGGAAGCGCAGCTAGTGCGGGGCCTCGGACACGCAGCTCAGGTCCGAGGTCTCCGGCTCTCCTCGGCTGACTTAGCCCACAGCACTTCCTCTTCTGTGCGGAGGAACTCAGCTCTTTCCCTCCCACTTCTTGCCAGAGGAGAAATGTTTGAAGCCCGCACCCTCCTCAACAAAAGGACAGGTGACAAAGCACAAGGCCTCAGTGTCCCTTCCTCCTGCCTCAGCTCAGCTGCTGGCCTCTTTCAAAGCTCCAGCTTCCCAGCCTGAGCACAAAACATCCGCTGGAAGTCCGTCTGGAAAAATAATACAGTGTTTGAAGACACGGGTGGACGCCAGGGAGCTCCTAGCCATCCAGGCAGCAGACGGCCACCAGACACGTGACCTCCTGCGGCGGTTTAGCCGGTCAACCGCCACCCAGAGCCACAGGGTCCCAGGGGCTGGAACCTGAAGGCAGACATCAAGGATAAAGAAGCATGAATCTAATCTTTTTCCAGGCTAGCAGGTCATTTTACGTCCAGGTTCCTCCAAAGGCCTCTAGACTATCACGGTACTGTGCTGGGCGAGCGTTTAGGAGCCCTGATATGGGCATTTCGACTTGTGCTTTGTAGGCCGATGTGGTTTTTATATCAATGCAGGCCACTTTCCATTTAGCTGCTTCACCAGCATTGTATCATATGTAACTTTGTTCCATCTCCTCTCAGCTCTGGAAATTTGTTCCACTAATAATCTCCCTTCTGGAAACTTCATTTTCTTTTTATTACTTTGGGGCATCTTCCTTAATGTCCACAAATATTCTTAAAAAACAAAGAAGGAAAAAGAGGCCACCCCCACTTTTCCTTGCCCTGCTACCAGTGCCCCCAAAATGCCACGCTCTCTGGCCTCCACTCCACCGCCTGCTCTCTCCTTTGCTCTCGTTACCTGCTCTCCTTCCACAGAAAACCTCCTCAGCGGTTACCAATGACCAGCTCACCAAGTTCCTGGGCCTCGTGGTTTACTTCAGGGTCTGTGGCTCCGGCACCTCTGTGACAGGAAGTCCTAGAGGGGACTTGGGTTGTTTACGGACCCGCCAGAAAGCGGGGCGTGGGATTGCCTGGCGTGAACGGGCTTTCCCCGCATCACGTCGGAATGACCTTGAACATTTCCCCACAAGGGCATCCGTGCTGGAGCCCAGAATCATTGGGCCCAAGCTGCTGCCATCCGTCTCTTCTTGGACAAAGGAAAAAAGGGGCCAGTGAGTCCTGGACCTCCCGCCACCTGATGCGGGGAAACGCGAAAGGCAGGCTCGGCCTCTGGTCTCATGCCCGCTCCCACTCCTGCCCTGCCCTGCTACCGTCCTTGCAAGATTCTGTGCAAAGACCCTATTTTTTTAAAAAAAAGTCTATAAACCGAAATGCTGAGAAATACAGATTGTTAGAAAATGCTCATTCTCCAAAGCTCAGAAAAAACTGGGTGGAACATTGCCCCCTTTTTGAAATGGTGGCGTCTTGGGCTGACCTCATGTTGCAGCGACTCAGACATGAGGTCATGGCTCTGCTGTTAACATATACGGCGTCATCCACACTCCCCCGCCGCATGCCAGACGCCTCAGAGAGGTGACCGGAGAGCCCGGGGGCACCTTGGAAACTTCTGAGGACATTTTTTAAATTTAAAATTTTTAAAGCCAGTTTGTGTTGTTCCCACCACTCGCAGGGCACTGTTGCAGAACAAGACGGCCAATTACAAGTGGAAGACCCGCCGAACAACGGGCATGAATGAAGAGCTAACTATCCCAGAGCCCAGGAGCCCAGGAAAGCGGCACTGTCCCCGGATCTCGGCTTTGAAGGGGCTTTAGAGTCATCAAACTCCTTCCCTCTGAGCCTGACGCCTTCAAGATCCCCAGCAGTTTCGGCCGCTGACAGCAAACGCTGTGCGCTGAGGCCACCGGCCTAACCCTGGACGGGGCTGACTGCGACACAGCTCCCCCTACGATGAGTCCCCATCTGTTTGCCTGTAGCTTCAACATCCTGATCTTTGTACGGACTTTTCTGGCCACAGACTAATCTTTTCATACTCGGGGTCACTGGCAGGCCACCTGGCCCGGACTTCTGATGAAGAATCAAGGCCGAGGTTGTTAGCGGCCTAAATAGGTTAGGTTCCTCTCTGTGCGTATGTTTCACATCAAATGACATTTATAGCAGATTGTTGGTGCTAGAGAAGCCCTTTCGTGGAGAACTCCTTTGGAGAATTGTGTACTTTCTTTCGTAAAGTCTCCCTTTCCACAGGTTTTTTTCTTGAAGCTCCCAACAGATCTCAACCCACCTGTGGCACCTGCTGCTTCCCCTGTTTAACTGAGAAGGGGGTGGGGGTGGGCAGCCGTAAAGGTGGGGTTAGGAGGTGCCAGAGTCACCCCAAGGATAAGAGGAACTTAATGTGGAAACATTCAATCCCTAATCCTAAATCCATGAATCTAGATTTACCGCAGGAACGAGAAATCATCGCTCAGGAAAATACCAGCCAGGGCATCCATGTTTCCATGATCACAGTGGTTTCTGGGAGGGGGTCTTGCAGGAAGCGTGTGGCCGGCCTCCGGCAGACCCTCTGGGCCTCAGCTCCCTACATGTCCTCCACTCTTCATTTTACTTCCCCTGATACTGCAGGACAGGCTCAGCCCTCTCGCAGGGTCTGCGGGGCTTCCAGTGACCTTGGTAACTTCAGGGGCCCAAACCCGCAGCTCCTGCAGCTTCTGCCCAGCACACACCGAGGGCAGGGCACCCAGCTTCCTCCCTGCGTTGGCTCCACGGGGAGCCAGTCTTCACTGGGAACGGGCCTGACAGAGCTTTCTCCCAGCCCCGGGGACCTGGCCCGCACCCTCCGAGGGGTCTCCCTACGCAGGAGACGGGGCACTTACTTTCCCTGAGGTAACTGAGGTGTGACAAGAGCACTTCTGTGTTGTAGGAGGAGGTGGCTCGGAGGAAGTCCTCCTTGTTCATTTTGCACAGTTCCTTGCCGTCCATGTTCTGCAGAAAGGCTGTGTCGATCTCCATCAAGCCGTACTCCTTTATCGCCCACTCCAGCCACTGCCGCACGTGGTCCTGCGTCCACAGCATGGGGTCTGCAGAGGACAAGGTTTGTCAGCCAGGGCTGCAGGGGGCTCCCCGACTCCCCCAAGCCTGGGCAGCCTCTCTCTGTCTGTCTTCCTCCCTCCCTCCTTTCCTCTCCCTTCTCTCCCTTCCCCTCC